GGAGAATAATCACATAGTATGCAAGTTAGATATAATACACCCAGAATATATAATAAAAACAGCCTCAATAGAAGCTACAAATCAAGATCAAGAACATTTTAAAATACAAATTAAAGAACTATTAGAATTAGGAGTAATAAGAAGATCTACTTCAAAACATAGATCTGCAGCATTTATGGTAAGAAATCATAGTGACATAGTTAGAGGAAAAGCTAGAATGGTTATAAATTACAAAAGACTAAATGAAAATACTAGAACAGACGGTTATAAATTACCAGACAAAACATAATTAATAAATAGAATCCAAGGAAAAACAATTTTTAGCAAATTTGATTGTAAGTCAGGATATTGGCAGATAAAAATACATCCAGATAGTATAGAATGAACAACTTTAACCTGTCCTGAAGGACATTTTGAATGGTTAGTTATGTCATTCGGGTTAAAAACCACACCTCCAATCTTCCAAAGAAAAATGGATCAAATATTTGGAGAATATAAAAAAATTGATTTAGTATATGTAGATGACATTTTAGTATTTAGTAATGATATAAAGAACACTTAGGACATTTACAAACATTTATTAGGCTATTTGTTAATAATGGAATGATAATTAGAAAAATAAAATAGAATTATGTAAAAACTATATAAACTTTTTAGGAATTACTTTAGGAGAAGGAAAGGTTAAACTACAACCTCATATAGCTAAAAAAGCTCTAGACATGCCAGATAAATTAAATAATTTAAAAGATTTATAAAAATTTCTAGGTATAATTAATTATGCAAGACCATTTACTAAAGATTTAGGAAAAATGACAGGACCGTTATACTCTAAGACAGGAACTAAGGGACAAAGAAATTTTAATATTGAAGACATAAAATTAGTAAAAAAATAAAAGAAAAAATAAAAAATATTCCTGATCTTAATATGTCATTAGAATTAGACTATTTAATAATAGAGACATATGGAAGTTTGAGGGATGAGGTACAGTATTAAAATCAAGACCACATAAATACAGTTCTAAACAAGAAGGAAAAATATGTGCTTACCAAAGTGGAAAATTCAAAGAAAAGGGTAATAAAACTAGCATAGATGTTGAAATTTTAGCTGTAATATATGGTTTAAATAGTTTTAGAATTTTATGTTCTAAATAAACCAGAAATATTAATAAGAACAGATTGTGAAGGTATAGTAAAATTCCATCAAAAAATTAATGATAAAATTAGTAGTAGAAGACGATGGCTAAATTTTTTTAGATACTATATCAATTTATCATTCTATAATTTTTGAGCATATTAAGGGAAATGATAATAGTATTGCAGATCAACTAAGTAGATTACTGATCAAAGTGTAAATTTTACAGTATGAGACCACTACTACCAGACAAAGGTAAAAGGGTTCAACCTTCAACCTCAAATCTTGCAGACTCTTACAAACAGACAATGTTATCAAATTTGCATTTTAAACCTCTAGATAAAATTGATGATGTTAAGATAGAAAGACTGCAGTTTGGACAACAAAACTTAATAGCATACGAGCCGTATAACTGGACATTCAGACACTTATCTAACTGTCAACTAGACAAACAGCAAACATGCCTCATAGATAATATATGGATAACACATAATAAAAAAGACACTAAATATGTAATTGCTGTTTTAAATGCTTTAGGATATTATTTTACTAACAAAAATAAAGAAAATAGATTTAAATATTATGTGGTGATTCATGGTAAAACAAATGGTGTTTTTCAGACATGGATAGAAGTTTTAGACTCTATTAAAGGATTTCAAAAACCCATTTTTAAAAGTTTTAATGATTTTACAGAAGCTTTAGACTATGGTAGATGAATATTAGGGCCAAATTACTATATTTCTCAAGCCCTTAGACAAAACCCAGCTAAAACTCCACAACACAACATCCAAAAAGATACAGACAAAGTAGTATTTTGTGATCATTGCTCATCCATGATCGGAGCATTCAGAAGGCTAAATCTAAGAAATGAAGCTCTAATACAAGAAAATGTCAAGCTCAGGGAAAGACTCCAAAGAATGGAAAGCAAAGGTAAGACTAAACAAGATGTACAAACTCAGACAGATATACAGGGTTTTCCATCCCAAATAAAAATGGATGAAATGGGTGTGCATTCCCCACTGAATGTTAAGAAATACACTGTATCAGATGAAAATATAGCTATTCCGGTTCAAATGGTAGCCGGTAATGACTTCTCAAACCTGTTGATGGCTGTCACTTTGCCAAAAAGTGAAAAGGATGAAGGTTCATTTTCCAGAAGAAGGTTACCTCTTTCATTTAACCAGACTCTTAGACAAAAAATCAAAAAATCCCAAAAAAATAAAGATCTAAAATCTCTTATAACCCAAACCGTAGAAAAATTACTTAAGAAACAACAACAAAAAAAGATAAACTGGACTTAACAGAAGTAGCTATGACTAATAATGGAGGAATTTTCTACATAAGTCTAGATTTTATAATTTTCATTTAAATTCATCATAAAATCTTGACTTATGTAGAAAATTCCTCCATTATTAGTCATAGCTACTTCTGTTAATCCTATAATTGCCTTTTTTATGTCTGACCATCTATTATCATATATTGTAATTAATGTCTTTGTTCCTAAGTTTTTTCTAATTAATCCTTTAATTCCTATAACTATTAATCCTATATTCATTAAGTCTTTTTTAACATGTTTTATTTCTTTTACAGATTCAGAGTTTATGAGTGGTAAAGATACAAAAAAAATTCCTAATACTGATAATTGTTCTTCTCTATAATGTCTATATAGTTGAGATTTTGAATTTGTATTACACAAAACTTTTGGATTCAATAAATTTAATTGATTTTGTTGGAAGATTTGTATATCTTTATGTGTATCGATTATTTCTTCTAATTGTTGATTATTTTCTTCCTTTGTCTTTTTATTTAATATTCTTGACAAAAAACTATTGCTTATCATATTTTGGGAGTAACTTGGTCTTGGTCTTTCTTATCTTTTATCTCTTGGTCTAGTTGGAAAAATATCCATTTTTTCTGTTTTTTTATTGTTTTTTCTTTTTGAGGAGTAATTTCTATTTTATTTAACTTTTCTATTAATTCTTCTATTCCAGTTGTGTTTATATTTTTATCTTCTACTTTTTCTTTAAAGTTTTTATCTATCTTATTATGTAGTTGTAATAAAAGTGATATTATTATATTGTTATGTTGTATAATAATATTAGCTGATTTTGAAGATGGACTAAAATCTTTATAATCTGATGGAAGGGGTATTCTTTTTTCTATTAATTTTATCGCTTCTCTATTTGTCTCTGACTCTACTAAATCTATCATAAAAGAACTATTTCTTTTATTGATGCTAATTCTGTCTTTATTTCTTGTATTTTTATTATCAATGTATTACTAACTTCTTCTTTAGATTTATTTTTTAACTCGTTTAATTTTTTACTTAAATCTACTCCTTGTTCCTTGAGATAATCTAAATTATTTTCTATCTTACTAAAGAGTTGTTTTTGTTTATTTTGCGTTTCTTCTTGTTCACATAATATTTTTATAATTTTGTTGTTTGATTCTTTTATTTTTTTCACTGAGATTGATTATTAAATCTATCAAAGTATTATACTTAGCGTCTTCTGTATGTAAGCAATGATTTCTGTTATCAAAGTTATACTTAATTATATTGTCTGATTTTAATCTTTGAAATCTTTTTTCAATATTGATTTGTAAGTCTAAGTATTCTATACTTTTTAATGAAGCTATTGTTACTATTGTTATCTTATCCTAAAGTAGTTGGGTAATTATCTTTATAAAAAAAATTTATTCTTTTATTATAGCTATCTATAGCACGACTAATTCCTTATAATTCCCATTTTAAAGCATTTATATATTCGTCGTTATTTCTTTCAATATAAAAATTTTTTGGTATAAAAAATTTGTTTTCGTATATATATATATATATATATATATATATATATATGCTTCTATTGATGTTTCTACTCTTTGTAATCTTTTTATCTCTATATAATAGCCAATTATCAAGTCTTATTCTTAAAGCAAATGGAAGATTTTTCATGAAGTATTTTTATTGAAAAATTTCTAGATATAAGATGTCTTATTAGTTTTTGTTCTAATATTTTAGCTAAAAAAATATATAATTTAATTTATTAGTTATTTCTTTTTTAGAGCCTGTTGTTTTTAGGTCTTTTAATAATATATCTGTTTTACATATAAATCTAGTAATTCTCTTTTAACTTTTTTATATTCTTTTGTATTTTTATAAGGTCTTCTCATATATTATCCTACAGAATTATAGTAATAAGGATTGTTTTACAAAAGTTGACTAATTCATTCTTTGCTTGAAATTTGTTGTAATGTGGTTAGAACTGATTTATATAAGCATGATATTGAATATAAATTAATTTTTCGCTATTTGTAATGAAGCATGTGATTTTATACCATAATAAGTTGTAGAATTATCTTCTACTTTCTTATTGTGTTGTGAAACTCTTGATTATGTGAAACCGATGTTTTCTTCTTCATTATATGTTAATAATATGGTTATGATATGTTAAGTGGAGTCTCTATTCTTGGAACACTATAGTCTACAGCCACACTTATTCTGGACTACACTTGTAAAGTGTTGCCTAAAGTAGTTTTTGAAACAGTTTTAAAGCGTAGCCAAAATTTTTAACCTTTAGCTATGATAATTTTGGAAACACTTCAAAAGTGTACTCTTTAATGGTATAGGCTACACTTTACAAGTGTTGTTACAATATAAAATAAATGACTACAACTATTTACCTGTTGGCCACACTTCTTAAGTGTCCTTTGTTTTAATTATAAAAACAACACATTAAAAGTGTGGCCTTAAAGTTTTCACTAAAATATAATATTCCCTCTAACATTTTCAGTTCTCCCTCCCATTTTTATTGGCTAAAAAAACTTATTAATAAAAAATTAATAATCGATAAAACTTTTTTCTTCTCCAGGGTCCAGAACACGCTTTACTCTTTCTCTAAAAGGTATTTTACTCTTTCTCTAGAAGATAAATCGAAGAGCTCAACTGATGATGGATGAATTAAGCTGATAATAGAAGAGTTAAGCTGAAGATCGAAGAATTGTGTTGAAGATTTCTTCGATACCTGCGATTCTCTTCTCCAGAAAAAGATTATTTTGAAGAGTTGAAGATAGAGATAAAGATCGAAGAACATAAGAGGGAAAGCTGAAGAAATAAGAGCTGAGCTAAATTTTTCTCCAATACGAATTTCTTTAAGGGTAAGTATGATTCTGTCAAGCTTAAGAATCATACGCCAATATTCCTTCGTATTATCTACTAATCATCTAGTACTAAAAATAATGTTCTTTTCAATTGATTGAATTTTTGTTTTTTGTTTAAAAGGAATCGATTACTTTGGGGTTTTAAAGCTTAAGTTCTAAAGTAGGGAAGAAAGTCTCGAAAATCATGTACGTCAAGGTGATCCCAAGGCATATCAGCAAACGAGAAAGAGGAAATTACTACTCGAAAACATCTGAGTAAGTTATCAACACATCTGTAAGTTGGTTTGATAGCAAATCAATTGGTTTGAAAGTATATGTAAAATTTTAACTCTCTTTGGATGTACAAAAATTTTTAATTGAAGGTGAAGAATCTGAGCTCCATTGATGTTTCCCACTGTCAATATAAATTACTACTCCCTTTTTATTTCAGGGACAGAACTATTTGAAGTGTTTTTTTGGAATTTATCATCTAAGAGTTTCTATTTTTTATGTCTAGATTTATTGTGTGGGCTAAGATGTTTCACTTATGGGTTTAGTTTTCTTATGTATTGATGTGTTTTGCATTGATTTCGGGGTTCCTGGCTTGTAGTAGTATTACGCATCAGATGGTTCTTCATGGTGGGCATTATCCAATATTTAAGTATGTTAATTTTATATTTCCTTAGATTGATAAGATGATTTTGGCTGAGATTAGTCAAGACAAGGTAGGTTACCTTGTACTCATTTAGTATTCACTAATTTATCTTTTCCGAAATTATTTTTTTAGAAGTATGTTACTGCTGCTTTTCCTTGACAAGTTTATGAAACATGTGCATCTTAAATTTATGTCTTGGAAGCTTCTTCAGTAGTGTAAAATATTTGAAAAAGATTGGAAGTAGATTTATTTGTACAAGACTTACTCTCATTGCCACTGAGAAGTACTCCTAACCATTGTATAAAGTCTTGAATCCTCATGCTAGTTTTTCTATTATACACTATGATTAATGATTGTGAGGTGTTTCATTACTCTGATGGTTGAGTTCGTTGAAATGTGGAAATGATGGATGTGTTTAATGTTAAATTTATTACATGTGAGGTGATTTTACTTTTTGGTATGACTTAAAATCTAGTATCAAAATATGATAGTTTTTGCTCCTTTTTTTTTTTGTGAGGCAAAAAACTTAAGGTATGAGCTTTTTGGATTAGAAGTAGTTTTATTTTTGTCATTTTTTAAGTTCAGACTTAATTTCCTTTTAGCCACATGTGAAGTTCCAAATTTGTTTACCAAAAGTAAACTTCAGAATTATTATGTAGTTTTTTATTTCATGAAGTTTCAAGAATTTTAAGTAATTTCCTTTGTGTTTTCTTACGTAGAAGCATTGATGTAAAGGTAATTTTTGCTATTGGAGATTACATTAACATACAGGCACATGCATGTATTGGAGGCAACGACGTGGGTGAACATATCAGAAAGCTAGAGCATGAAGTACACTTAGTCTCTGGAAGCCAGGAAGAGTCTGTGACATGATTAGAAGGAGAATTTAACAACTAGGGCCATAAAATAATTGATTCTTATAAGTTTATGGCTTTTTAAATTCATATTTATCTTTCTTGTTCATTCTTTTTTCTAGCTGATTGTTATTCAATTTAAATATTTGAGATCTTACTCTACTTCTAATTTTTTTAGGATGAATCCGACAAGGTGTTTACCCGCAGTTTTAAAGATAAGATATCTTCCACCAGAGCTTCAAGTGAGTTGTGTGTTACTCTAAATGCATAAAAAAAACTTATATTCTGGCTTATTAGATGATTATTTGTACAAGAAGTTACAGTTCAAAATGATTGAGTTATATCACAAATATTCATCTAGAACTTGTTCATAAGCTATTAACTATTGGTGTGCGGCTACCCACCAGTGAAACACATACATTGTGCAACTCCTCACTGATCCATCAATGATCGCACTTTGTTGGTAATGTTGCTTGAATTTCCATGCTTGTGCATGGCCTATTATGAAGCTTATAGAGTCTCTATATATTCTATGTTTGAATTTGCTTTTTTTGTTTTTAATTGTGTGATCAAGTAGCTTAGACATTCTAGAATCCAGTTTCCTTGCATGTTTTGTACTCCCTTTTTTTTTAGGTATAACCGAGAAATGATATCATCTTGTTGATTTGCTTTCTTTGGATAGACTCTTCTATGGTGTTTGTTATGTATAATTTCTTGTTTTGTAGAGGAAAAGAGATTGTTGTGCCCTTCCCACCAACTACAAAATTTAACTTAATTTTTTTATTAGACTCTCCTCCTTAAGTTTTAAGTACTGGACAGATCTTTGTTCCCTCTCTTTCTGTCTCACTCTTTCTTTACCCAAGTAAAAAAAACGTTTAACAAAGATAACATATATTGACTCTCCAGGTTGTACTGATTTATGCCACTCTTTTAAATGAAATTCTTCGTTTTATAATTTGCCTTCTGGAAAATAGTGTGTTGTTCCCTCCATTCAGTGCACCCAAAGATATACAATCCATATCCTAACTTATTACATCTTCCGAAAGGAAACTGTCAAGGAAAAAGTAGCTCGACAAGATGTTACGACGATTACACTTCTTGATGTTGGTACTAAACCAAGCAAGCTTATAACAAATTATTTCATTCGTCCTATTTCAGAAGAAAGAATTTATTTTCTAATTACTAAGATATAAAGTTGTAATTCTTTATACCTCTCTTTTGCAATATAATTCTTAAAGTATATTGTTTACATCATTGCAGGATGTTTTCACATACTTGAGAAGAGATTATTATCAATGGTTCCTCAACCAATTCAATTTAAATCGAAAGACCTCTTCAAACAACTATATTTCAAATGTTTATAGCTGAATCAGCACAAAGAGAAACAAAGAAAATAGCATCAGCTCGTAAGGCATTCTCCTTTTATTTCAAAATTGTTTTCTTACGATGAATGCTTTGTTTGTGTTTCACAATAGGTTTTCCTGTACACGAGGGATTTCTGATTTTGTGATGAAATTACACAGAATGCAGTCTTACAGACTTGTGGAGTCCACAGTCTCATCCTAGATACTACATACTATAATTCCAAGTATTTAGATTGTTAATTCATTCTTGGTTATGAAATCAAATAACCTATCAAAAATTATGTAATTGGTGTATATTTTAGGTAGTAAACTCAATATATGGTTATTTATTTTGAGTAGCATGCCCTTGCCATAGAAGAAAACACTTTTATAGAAATTCTCTAGAATAATTATGTCACATAAATTATTATCTAGATTGGCTATATGAATTCCCTATATCCACTCCCCCCAAAAGAGAAGTCTATATTATTAAATTTTTTACCATTCGTGGTACCATTAGAAATATCATTACTTCTTAAAGAAGTCTAGCAGGAACAAGATATTTTTCCAAAAAACAGAGTTGTTGTTCTGATTTGTTTACATTTCATGATACCCATAAGTTCATTACAATAATTTTTTTATAGGAAACTTCTCATCTCTATTACATATGTTTAGTGATTTCATACAAGAAGATTTGTGCCTTTCTAATTGGATTAGTATTTCGGATGTCATACATATGTTGGTTATTAGTTTTGTTTCGCTTCTTTTTTCTAAAAGAAATTACTACGAGTATTATGAAGTATGACTTGCTGGTTAATATCCATCCAGAACTAACTCTAGTTACGGCATTAGTGTTCATCTTTTCCCTGCTAACTGTAGTGAGATCAGGGAGTGTTGTTTTCAGCTTTTGATTTCAGACAAAGCTGATTTTTTGTGAAATATAGAAAAAGAGGAAGGATGACATTACAAGTGCATTTTAGAAACATGTTAATAGTGGGGTAGTGACTAGTGACAATATCCATAGACCTCAACATTGTGTGTCTCGGGGGAGGTTATGTGATACTTCCGTATAGTTTTGCTGGTAAAACTTGTTGAATGCTTGTCGTAGTGTATGCCTCTGGCTATATGCTATGATCTACATATTATTTCATTTGTCCTTTTTCGGAGAGTAGGAAAGTTTGTGTTACTGATAGGGTGCAAACGGAGGTCGAAGAACTTGTTCAAATGCTTCCCGTAGGAGAAATCAGAAGAAAACTCCAGCCAAAATTACAAAATCTAAAGACATTCCCATGTAGTTCTTTATACCAGGAACACCATTCTGAGTAGTAAGTACCCTAAATGTAATCTGACTTTTACGTGTGCTTACTATTTTGCTTTTCAACAATAAAATGTATTCTGACTTTTATGTGTGGAGTTGTAAATTTACAGTGATGATGACATCTCATTTTGGGGTAGCATTTCTTTCAAGGCTAAATGTTTAGAATTTAATAGAGTAATTGAAGTTCAACTTGGTATGTGAAAATCAATGATGATGTAATATGTTTCTTCTCAAGTAAAGACAAGTTTTCAGCTATTTTATTTTGTCAAAGTTACATATTTGGTTGAGTTTGTCACTGAAATATGAGAACTTACACCCGTATTAGGGATTGGAAGGCCATCAGGGATTTCTCAGCTATCAAAAGAAAATCTGATCTATATTTGAACTAGTTTGTGTGCATCTTATCCCCTACTCGATAAGCATATCTTTCTAGATCCAAGTGAAACTTATTAATACCTAGTACTCACTTTAAGATGATGATGTGAAAATGACTATGAATGAAGAGAAACCATAGCTTGTCTCACGCCCAAATTTTAACTGTTAATTATTGAATGAATATACAAAATGTTTACTATGTTAGGTTGTTATATTTGTGTAATTTAGATGTTTACACTAGTTGCTTCATCCTAACATTGTTCACTTTCGTTCTCTCTAACTTCATCGTATAATTGTGGCAGATGTTCTAAAGTTCTTTTTCACCACTTTTTGCTTAAATTCAATCAAATGTTGGTATGTTTCTCTTTTTGATACACTTAATTTGACTTTTTAGTGGATTTTGTTTTGATGACTGCAAATAGTATAGGAAAAATGTGTCTTTTATAAACATTTTCTAGTTAACAATATTATTTGTAGTCATACATCTTACATGTGGTTTAATGTCCTAAGGAATTAGAGCATGAATGAAGCAAGGAGCTCAAATATATGGAGAATCGTGTGACTGATGAAGACTTCTTGAACAATTTTTATTAATTTTATTTTGGTTTTGTGAAATTAATTACAAATATATATATTGTAATATTGATTTTTAGTAATTGTATTCGAGTCAATATACTTTTCATATATGCATATTATAAATTAGTCCTTAGACTTAACTAATTAAGATATAACTGTATAAGGGGAAGATCAGAAATATCCAAAAAAAAATATATGGCATATAGATATGTTAAAATAATATTTATAGCCTATATAACATTGCCACACCTTATGAGTGTGGTTGTAGAAATTTATTTGTGTGGCTTATTTATCTCAAATTGTGCCAAATAAATTAAAAAACACAACAATTAAAATGTGTAGCTTGAGAGGAGGTAAGAAATGCTACGTTTTGTAAGTGTGACCTATGATAGTAACGGCCACACTTGATAAATGTATCTTGAGGTCATGAAAAGTGTAACCATATGATGTTCTAAAAGCGTAGCCTTTATAGCTTTTAGGTAACACTTTTGAAGTGTAGCATTTAAAGTAACACTTAATTTGTAGAATGTTATGGGCTTTTGATTCATGTATATATTATGATTGATTGGTTTATAGGTTGTTTCTATTTGATCAACTGAGTATTGAATGTTCTTAGATTTATTTAGTATTAGGCTTATTGAATTGATATTGACTCAAGGCTTATGAATTCTAATATAGTTTCTATGGGCTATCCATTGATGTGATAATTGTAGTAAATTGATATCTAGGTTGTATTAGATTTATGAGTATGTAATGGTTTGACCTAGTTTCATTGATTATTAATATAATTGTATTGAATTATTTGTTATGTCCATGGTTAAGGACCTTATGATATCGAATTGGATGAGTTAGCCTTGAAATCGAAATGGTAAGATGGAGTGTGGGTATGCTGCCCTAATTTCTTTAATTTTACGTTATTAGACTTTAATTATGTTGTGATTGGTATATTCCACTTATGGTGGTGGTGCTATGTGAATTGATTTGGCATTGTCGGCATTACTTTATGCAATATGACGATCATGGCCTTGTCGGCACTACTTGAAGCATTATGATGATTTGTTTAGTTTATTTATGTGAAGTATGAGCATATCTATCTATATGTGAAAGTATGTGTTCTTTTTATGTATGCTAACAAAATCATGTAGACCATGACTATGTGCTTCTATGTGTAGTCTCAGGGTTGATACATGCTTGTTCCTACTTGACTGTGTGAGTCTATAATGGTAATATTGATGAAGTTATGATAATGTATAGGATGACATAAATATGATAAGGGTCATTCTTATGTAATTCAAAGAATGATATGCTATATGTGATAAAGTAAAGAATGTTGTGTCTTGTTTGGTAGGCTGGTGTCTCTTACTTGATATATGTATGAATGATATGATAATATAAGATGTCTTTACTTAGGATGCTAAAGCCTCTTAGTCTTGAATGTATGAATGATGTGTGATACCGTGAATGATATTAAGAGGGTCCTTTATGTGAAACCTTGAAACTAGTGGTAAGGTTATGTATATTGAAGCCGAAAGTCATAACGGCATCCTTCAAGTAAAGAAATGATGGACTTACGGTTGATTGGATGGAAACCATCATTTAAAACCTTAGGAAAGTCATAATGAGCTATCTAAGTCGCTATTGAAAGGTAGCCCTAGTGGACCTCTTCGGTAGGGTAAATGTGATTGGGTTATGAACTAGATATGGAACCTAATTGTATGAATCTTTAATGTAAATGACTCTATGCGAGCAAAGGATAGTACCAAGTGATTATGTCATGAGAAGTAGCTCTACTTGATAAGGAGACTACTAGCTCTACTTGAGAATGAGACTAGAGTGCATAAAAGCTCTTCATATTCCTTAACCATGTGCCTAAATGGGATGTGTCCTAGTTCTACCCTTTGCAAGTAGAACCCTTATCGCAGGAGGTTAGAACTCCAGATTCCATGTCTAGCCATCATGGTCTATGTCGGTTATTGCCTATTCTCATCGTGTAGGATACCTACTAGCATTAAAGATGTTCGATGAAGTCTAGGTGGTGGTATGGGATGCTATCTAGACATTGTACAATAGGCTTTGAAGATGTCAGTTAGAGTCCCTAGTTCTTCTCAAAATTATTTCTTGAATGTACTTTGTGTGATGAATGTCTCTTAAATGAACTAAGGTATGTAATGACTTAAGTTAAGAAATTATGTTAAATGAAGAAGTACTTATCTAGAGTAGTTAAGGGTTGTCTTTTTAAGGTGTGAAGGGGTCATAGGAATGGTCACTTCTCATCTTACCTAGATAAGTCTTAAGAATGACTCTAGTGAAGGAAGTTGGTTGATTATGTATACATTATCTAAGACTTAGGTAGTCTTAAGGATTACTTAGGTAATCTTGAACAGGTCAATTATAGACGTTATCTTCTTGATTTACTTTAGTAAGTCTTTTGATAGCCTTTGGAAGGAGAATAGCATATCATCTATATGCTAATGTGTTAACTGAGAATGATTCTATCTTAGGTAGTCTATATGATCTCTTAGGTATGTGTGTAAGGGATTTTATTGGTGGTTGCTTCAAAACTTACTCAAGTGAACCTTAGAGTCACCTTTAGTAATAGGATCTCATGTTCATGTGATTGGTGTATTTGTAAGTATGTGTATCTCATGATGAGTGGTCTTAAAGATCATTCAGGTGTGCCTAGAGAGGGTGTATGGGTGTTCTCTCTTTGTCTCACTTAAGTGAGTCTTAATATAGATTTAAGTGAGGGAATTATATGCTAAATAGTATGTAGAGTGAAGCTAAGAAACTTCACTGTACAGTGAAGGTTCACTGTTACAGTGAAGTAATTTCACTGTGATGTTTTCCAAAAATGTGACTTATTGTTTAAATGATTTCTTATGTGTGTCTAAGTTGTTAAATGTATTTCTTATGATTATAGTATGATGCTTTAATAAATATTCATGAAAAGCATATTATTTACTAAATGTCCTTTTTTCATGGTTTTTGCATGGCTTCCATACTTAGTGCATTTAATGTGCTAACCCCTTTCTTTTCCATTTTTGACTAATGTGTAGGGAATTGGAAGTCTTGATGTGACATGAAGGATTTATAGGTTTCTAAGGCTTTGAAGATGAAGTATTGGTGAGTCATCATTGATTCGTGAACAATATCTACAAGTTCCTTATGTCTTAGTCTTTATTTTGTGTCTTGTATGGGCTTAGTCCCAAGTGTTGTAAACTCCAAAGATTATATGGTTCAACGAGATTGTTGTAAAGGTTTAATGTTTTTAAATGAAAGTCTTTCGCTTGCATATTGTTTGTGAAAGAGTTCTTCGTGTGTGACAAAAATGTTAAATTTTTACTCATATTAAGATGTTTATTATGCAATGAATGATACAAGTAGCTTAGATAAGACTTCTTCAAGTCTCATTTGCCGTGTGACGACACAAGGATGTTCTAACTTCTATGGTGTACTTGTGAGTTGTTACAAACTTGATATCAGAGCATAATGTTTGGGAGTGTCTAAGTTGTCTCATGTACCACATCTAGTCAAGTCTTGTTTATAATGTAAAGCGCGCCACATTATAAATGGGAGGATATTTGGTGCTAGGAAAAGTTTCACTTCTTCATTAATCTAATCATGCCTAAGAGTTTTGTAGCTTTCCCTTGTTTCCCTTATGTGTTGGCCCATTGAGGGTGACTTTATGAAGTTTGGGTTGAGGGAGAGTAAAGATGAGATGTGACTTATTGGATGAGGTGTGAAAGAAGGTGTTGATGACCTTAGGTTGGCTTAGTTACCTTTTGAAGGTAGTTAAGTCTAAAGGAATGGTAAGGTATAGTGTGAGGATGTGAAAGAGTGGTTGTTTAGGTGGTTTGAACTTGTTTAAGACCCAACCATAGAAAGGAAGTGGATGAGATTAGAAATAGTAAAAGTGAGTTCTCCTAGTAAGGATGGATGTAGTGGTTAGATGATAAGACCTTTGAGAGTCTTTAGTCTACATGAGATAGACTTTGGTGAGAAAGTATTAGGAAGGTTTAATATGCCTTAAGGGACTTAATTGTAGTGGATGTTAAGTTGACCTTAGAATGGGTTTCTCCTAAGTGGGGGAGTATGGTGAAGATTATGTTTGTTGGGAGTGAGATGACCTTAACCTTTCTTGATGTTTTTATTAAAGCCTAAAACAAAGGGTTCTTGGTAACTTAAGTTCTGTAGGAGTTTATGGAAGATGAGCTTTCATGCATGGTCATGCATGATATCTTCCTTATGATTCATGTGCATATTGTGTAGGTTGTTAATTGTTACATATAGTTGAATAGTGAGCTTGTCTAAATGGTTATATGAGATTGATTGGAGGACAATTGTAAGGAATTTCTTAATTGTTGCACTGTTAGATTGTAAAATATTTTCACTGTAAGGTGATGTAAGGCAAAAATAAACATTTTTATTATTATGTGTAATACATATTTATTATTTATATTTGTCCATTTTGATCTTAAATTTTATGGATTATGCTAAATTGTGTATTTTATATATAGAATTAATTTGGTGATAAAATAAAGAAGTTTCGAACTAAAACAAATTTAAAATAAAAAGTTGAAGAAGGGAAATCAAGCAGATAGCTTAATGGATTAAATTGAATAAAATAATATATTTATATGTACGGAAATTGCGGCTCAAACCGGAGGAATTTCAATTTGCTTGTTGCAGCTGCCACGTGGCAGCCACTAAGAGATCAACGCGGCAACCTTTGCAGCAAATAATTTACGGAATCAATTTCTTCTAGATATTGAATTCCTAATTTAATTTGAACTCAATTATTTTATTTAGGGTTTTCATTAGCTATAAATAGTTAATAGAAATAATTATTTTAGAGGAGGCCGAGAAACAAGATACAAGATATAATATAAAGTTTTTTCTAGCTTTGGAGTTTTGTAAGGTCGTCGTGGAGGCCAAAGAATTGTGGTTTATTCTTTCTTCTCCTTTATTATTTATTTGTATTTGTGATTAATAAAAATATAGTTTAGCTATTGTTCTTAACTTTTTATGATTAACACAAATATATTTATTTTAATAAATTTTGATTGTATTTTGAGATAATGAGTAGCTAAGTTTCACTACTAGGTTTG